CGCATCGGTCAATAACGAAAAATTTATCTTTACGACTAAGGACCTTAAAAGGCCCGTCATACGGTGGTTGTAATGGCTTTCGTATGGCGTCGTGACGCACGAAAACGTGTGTACAGTCATCAAGTCGCCGATCAACCTGAACCTTTCGGTTCTGAGTGCGTGTGGAAACTGGTCGGAGTCGCTGCATAAAACTTTTAAGTTGCTGAGCGTAACGGGTGGTATCGGGAAATTTGGCTCGAAAGTTTCGGGAGCGATTAGCTCGCCTGGTAAACGCATGGTGGTACCGTACACCAATTCAGCTGGCGAGCACTGCAGATCCCCCTTAAGCGTAGCCCGGATGCTAAGCAGGACCAGTGGTAGCGAATCTGTCCACTTACTGTTGTCCACTGCCATCAACGCAGCTTTGAGTTGACGGTGGAAACGTTCTACTAGGCCATTTGCCGCGGGATGATACGCGGTTGTGCGAATGCGTTTGCATCCCAGCATCTCTAACAATTCTTTGAAGCTTGTGGATTCGAATTGTTGTCCGCGGTCGGTAGTGACAGTTGCGGGACATCCAAAATGGGCAACCCAGCCTTCCATGAAGGCACGACAGACGGTTTGAGCCGTTACATCTGGTATCGGAATGGCTTCCGGCCAACGTGTGAAACGATCCACACATGTGAGTAAATACGAGCAGCCGTTAGACGGGGGCAGAGGCCCTACTATATCCAGGTGGATATGATGGAACCGAGCGTCTGGGGTCGCAAACGTCCCCAACGGCGTGATGTTATGCTTGGTGACTTTAGCACGTTGGCATTGCACACAAGCACGTGTCCATTGACGCACATCACGGTTCATACCGGGCCACGCAAATCTCGCAGAAATCAACTTGTCCGTTGCTCGTATGCCAGGATGGGAGAGGTTGTGGAGTGACTCAAACACAGTTCGGCGTAAAGACGTGGGAACAATCGGTCGAGGAGTACCAGTTGACATATCGCAAAGTATAGTTGCCTCACTGTTTAGCAAGGGGACGCGTTCTATCTTCAGTGAGGTTTTATTTGACAGGTGTTCTAAGTTCAAATCGTTCAGTTGGAGTTCGGCCATTTTATGAAGATCGATGGTTGGTGGTACGGACGTAGCACATACGCGAGACAAAGCGTCTGCTACCGCGTTATCCGATCCAGAAACGTGCTGGATATCAGAAGTGAACTGGGAAATATAGTCTAAATGGCGTGATTCTCGCGGTGAATACCGGTCTGAAGTAGTGTGGAGGGCGTACGTCAATGGCTTATGGTCGGTAAATACCGTAAATTGCCGGCCTTCCACGAAGTGACGAAAATGCTTGACAGCAGCATAGACAGCGAGAAGTTCCCTACCGAATGTGCTGTATCGAGATTCGCATGCGGTAAGTTTACGTGAAAAGAAAGCAATCGGTAGCCATACATTAGCCATACGCTGTTGTAGGACGGCTCCGATCGCAGTATTAGAGGCATCTACGGAAATGCTGATTGGAAGTTGAACATCTAGATGGACCAACATTGTGGCGTCAGCAATAGCTTTCTTGATAGCTGCAAAAGCTGTCGAGGCTTCCTTAGTGAACACCAAAGACTTGCATTTCCCTTTAAGCATATCAGTCAAGGGGGTCACGATATGAGCACACTGTGGGATAAAGCGACGGTAGTAACTAACCATCCCGAGAAAAGTGCGTAGTGCCTTGGGAGAAGTGGGTAGAGGGAAGTTTTGAATAGCTTCTACCCGGTCAGGTAACGGATAAATTCCATCTTTGTCTATCCTATGTCCCAAAAAATTCAGGGAAGTGACTCCAATCTGACACTTCGGCAAGTTGAGTGTGAGGGAGTGTGTCACAAGTCTTCGGAAAACTGTCTGCAAATGAAGTTGATGAGTGGCTTCATCTGGACTAGCTACCAAGATATCGTCCAGATAGGCAAAGGCGAAATCAAGCCCGCGCAAAACGTCATGTATAAAACGCTGGAAGGTTTGGGCAGCGTTCCGTAAGCCAAAAGGCATTCGAAGAAACTCGAACAGGCCAAACGGTGTAATCACAGCAGTCTTAGGTATATCCTCGGGGTCGACGGGAATCTGGTAGTAAGCCCGTGTAAGGTCCAGTTTGCTGAATACTCGAGCTCCCTTGAGTGAGGCGGTTAAATCGTGTATGTGAGGGACAGGGTAGCGATCGGGAACAGTTTGTGCGTTTAGTCTGCGGTAGTCGCCACAAGGACGCCAATCTAAACCGTTATTCTTAGGTACCAGGTGCAACGGTGAGGACCACGGGCTGCTGGATGGCCTAATAATCCCCATTTCTAGCATATGCTCAAACTCCGCTTTGACAACCTTTAGTTTTTCTGGGGATAGTCGCCTCGGCTTTGCGAAAACTGGCGGGCCAGTAGTGACAATATGGTGTGTGACGTTGGAAGTCGCACATGGCAGGCCGCTGCTAGGTTTGAACAAATCTGAAAAAGACTGCAGTATATGCGAATAAGGACCAGTGCTAGTGGGTGTGGCATATACAGGGCTGAGGGCTGGGCCTTGTGTGACGATACCGCTGACGGAGAGGTTTGTGACAGGATCTCTTAACTTATGATTACCTGTATCTACCAGTAATTGGTAGTGCTGCAATAGATCCATGCCAATTATACCTGTGGTAACGTCTGCCACCAGGAAGACCCAACGAAGTGAACGACGCAAACCGATGTTAAGATCTATAAAGCGCCTGCCGAACGTAGCAATTGGCGAACCGTTTGCGGCTCGTAGTTGAAGAGACATTGGCCGCCTGCGCTCCTCTACTGTGGGTGGGATTACACTGACCTCTGCTCCGGTATCAATTAGGAAGCGTATCCCAGTGTTACGGTCGGTAACATAGAAGAGGCGACATGAGAGTGGTTCGCCAGCGACGTTAGTCGCCAGTACGTGCTGGCTTGCTAGTTTCCCGATTGTTGAACATCGAAGGTGCACGGGCGAGTGCACTTTTGGGCTTTTGCTCCGTAACGTCGATGATACCAGCACACTCCAGGCTGGTTACTTCGGGACTGTCGGCGCTTGCTGCTAGCACGTGACAAGGGTCTACTACTACGCGAACTCGAGGGACTGCGTCCACGACTCCTGGAGTTCATCTCCTGTCGTATACTACAGATCTCCTCGTATAGCTTGGCTATATGGGCCACCGCGTCAAAGCTTGATGACCCCCCATCAGCCATCTTGCACACAAGACAAAATATTAACAAGGTGATAAAAAACCAATATAAGTACAAACAAAACAAATCAAATCTTTATAACCGTGCGTGAAAGAAAAGAAAAAAATAACAAAATAGACGGTACGTAAAAAGAATTGTTAACACGTTAAGCTACTATGGCGGAAAACGGTGAAAACGGGCTCACCACTTGTAAGTGTTGAGGCTAGACTTAAGATAGTCCTCGATATCACCACACTTACTAAAAACTTCACCGTCTTATGACTTTACCAGTACTCTACCTAACGTGTAAGTACTGATTAACTCAATCAAAGTTTAAAAGCTAACAATGGAAAGAATTCTTAGTATGAGTTGTATTTAACGTAACTGAATAACAGATTTAATAAATAAAGTGACTGTACAACTTAGCTGCAGACGTTGCTGGAGGTAGGCTCGGAGAGTGTGCAGAAAGAGAGCACAACAAGAGAGCGAACCAATGAACGTAAGGAAGACTCACAACTCAAAAGATAAAAGGTGTATCACCGTGGGTGAGCGAGTTTAAACAAAAGTTCAAAGGTACAATGTGCACTACATATGCATGAATAATTGTCAGAATGACGACTTTCCTCTGGAATTATATGCAGTATTTTCAGTTAACAGGGCCCACTTGATAGTTTGCTGGAAGTTCCAATCGAGAGTTTCCTTAGTTGTCTCCTATTATAGGGTAATGAAGGGGGCATTAAAGTCTCCAAATTTGAAGATTTTGTCGCAACCTAGGTTTCGCATCTTCGCGATAGTGCAGAAATGTTGCTGACAGAGTTCCGTTCCGCAAGTGAGAAGTGTACAGTTACGACCCATAAATCCTTGGTGTGGCAGACAGTAAGACAGTAATTTGCTGACTCTGGGTGCTTACACATTCATCACAACCGCCTGCTGACATCTATGGCATTTCCGCCTTCTTAATTATGACCCATGACCTGCCTACACTGCTTATGTCCACTTTGGAGTTGGAAGGCGTGAGGGGCATTCATTTTCCAGTTACTGTTATTATCTTGAGATCTTTTTACGAATGCCGGTCCTGAAGTCCAGACATATTATTCCTAGATGCCTTGCGTTGCTATATAGGCACTTCATGGTTAATCCCACCGCTTAGTTTAGTTATCGGGTGGCCATTGGGAAGATACTGACGAAATAATTGTTCGACTCCATAGGAACTGGTGTGTTGCTATTCTCTCCCCGTGTCTTATAGAGACACTAGGATCACAGTAATTCTCGCCCTTTTCGGCGTAACATTTTTGCAGCACAACTGAAGCAAGAAGTATATTCACTCCGAGATGTTTCTTCCAAAAAGCTCGAGGATCGCCTAATCATTATCATGACTACTCGTTAATCACACCTTTAATCTTCTACGACCAATAGAACACCTCAATCAGTTACTAGTGGAAGGTGTATTTTACTGAGATGAGTCCTGATGATATGAGAGGAGTCTGAAGACAGCCAATGCTCCACACTCACTGTGCCTCGCCATTTTTCTTCATTTCCTGTCCGTCAGTACTTTCACTTTTGCTCTAGAGTGATGCAGAGAAACATAAAAGTTGTCCGCCCCAGTGGGATTAACGTCAGCAAATACATGCTGCAATTTAAGGGATGTGAAATCAGAATGTAGCCACCCACTAGATTTTTCATATCTGTCCGGAACGAGTGATTAGACTCAGCTTATTGTCATTCAAAGGTGGTTGACAGTCGCTTTTAATCAAGAAATCAAATGATTCTGACTAATTTATGAGAAGGACATTGAACATTTTACAAGCCATTCGGCTTGCCGCTGTGAACAGTAAAATACAAAAGGAGTACAAAACGTGAAAAAACATGGACACTAAGTCAATAAGGGAGGAAAATTTACCCTTTCTGAAATACCGGCTGTTAAGAAAGTATCAAGAGCATTGAACACTTCTGAGTCAGTTGTTTTCATGCGCTAGGTGTCATCCATCTTGATTCGGCCTCAAGACGTTGCCGTCAGGAGTCGTAAGTTTTCTCTGTGTATCCTGTCATATCATTTACAATTAAAATTAGTATTTAGGAAGGCTTCATTTTGAGTTGAAAGTGATACGTCTAAAGCAGTTGGTTTTTAACCGTTCACTGAAAAATCGTTTTTTATAAGACTGCTTAGTAAACTCAGCGATACGTGGCTGTGAATATTTGCCTTTGTAGGATAGGTGTTGTAAGATTACGCAATAATTTGTGTGTCAAAACTATGAAGCTTGGATGTAGGTAAAGTCTCATATATAGCATGTGATCGACTCGTCCTAAAGTTATGCTGAAAACCAAGTACCCCGCATGATCCGTGCTGGCTGCTTAACATATATATAATAAGCAGTTTTCCTAATTTCTGTTTAAAAGCTTACGCAACGGCAAGTGTGAAGCTCTACTGGCAATTGTGCTACACTCAGTTCCTGGTAGTTTGGTTGCGCAAGTCAAGGATATATGTTGAAGATATGGTTTGTTACTAAGCTGTAGTCTGGACTTTCTTGCTTGTTGAGGCAGATGGTGACCTGAGGAGCTTAAGCCACTTTAGCCTCTTTGATCTAGTCAAGTTTACCTAGTGGTAGTTGTTAAGATGCACCTCACTAATCTGGAGTGTTGTTTGATATCATACACCGACTCAATGTTTCATGCACGTACTTCTTGAAGTCCAGTGTTCGGTGCAGATCGCTGCTGATTTCAGCGATATTTTGTGATATGTTTAACGGGTTCTTGGACAATTAAGTGTTTTACTGCTGTATGAATAGTGGGTTAACTGGACCTAGAAAAGTCCGTTTGTATGAGGGAGAGGATTAGGATTTCAGGGTGGATATTACGAGAGTATCAACATGAACGAAACTCAAGACACCATGATCTATGGTCACGGCAGAACTGCATGATCCATAGTTATTTTCCTAACAATTTTGTGACTCAAAGCTCTGATTCTGATGAAGTCACGGTTCTTTCGGATTTGGGTGACTGCTATAGTTTAGTTTTATTCTCGAAGTGTTTCATATGGATTCCTGGCGAAGTTAAAATTGCATCAGCAAATGACGACAAAATGACCTTGAGCCCATCAACCACGTGATAAATGCAGTTTTGCGTACCGAATACATATATTCGTGACATAGGACAAAAATAGCTATCAGTTTGTTCGGAATATTAACGGATTGGTTTAAACACTATGTATGCAAATATCTAGGTCTCCCAACCCCTAACAATAACCCTGGTCTCTAGGTGACCCAACCCTAACTTGAAAATAGCTTTTAACCACCCTTAATATAACTCGAACCAACCTTGATGTTACCCTCTTTAGGTTATCCTAACCCAAACCTGTTCTTAGGCTAAACCTTACGTAGTCGTTCCTAAACCTAACCCGAAACTTGCCAGATATCCTACTTAAGTACGTAACACTTCTTTAAGCACATTTTAATCGTTATTACAATGTTATTTACCATGTTTCACTAACTTGGTCACTGAGTTTCTAGACTACAGATGCGGTCGCGGTCTACCGGTACTTTCTGATGCTCAAAATGTAACCTGACTAGTTTTCTGATACCAGCAGTCCAAGTCTTAGTTGCGTTTTCATAACTGGGCATACAGGAAATATTGCATACTTCAAAATATGACTGCGTAGCCTGTTTAAACTTGAATGTCATTTCCCATTTCTCTGTCTAAAAGGTCGCTGCTTATATTGGTGTGCGCTAGAAATTTATGTTATCTTCGTGATCACTATTTCGAAATAGCTCATATAAAATTAAGTAGTCATCTTTGTGCCTCATAGATTGCTCTCAGTGAATAAATAGGTGTTCTGTTTTTCAGTTTAAACCATTTCCATAGCTGGTGCATTGCTATTACAATATTGTGGTGCTTATATTTGGGATTATTGTTTGAGACTGAATATTTGACTTAGGGCACTAAGTGGCGATTTAAAAAATTGTGTGACCATCGGATTTTGTTTTGCTACTGTGGTGATTAGTTAAAAATTGTCTTTAGGTCAGTGAATTACGTTTTCAGACCTTGTTTCATCAATAGGGTTTCAAATGGTTTGGCAGTTATAACAAATTTCACATGGTTGCGACTCACTATGAAGTAGGTAGAGTTTGGTGTTTAAATGAGTCCTGGGGATGGCTTCGTCTCTTTAGTGAGCATAGCATTAACTTTTAATTCCAAATATGAATTTATATTCTGGATTCACGTTTGGACCGTAAAAAGTAGTAGACGTTTGTATTATTCGGTTGGTTTCTTAATTCAAATTTATATTCACAGTGCTTAAAGAGTTAATTTCTCGGTAAAGGTTTATTTTTTACAGTGTTACAACTCACATTTTTTTTCCCTTTACAGAGTAAAAGATGTCCGTCATCATTCGACTTCAGAATTTGCCGATATCGGCAAACGCATCGAACATTCGTCGTTTCTTCAGTGGATTATCTATTCCAGAGGGAGGAGTGCACATAGTTGGAGGCACTGAAGGTGACGCCTTCATTGCTTTTGCTACAGACGAGGATGCAAGGAAAGCCATGTTACTTGATCGACAGTCGATCAATGGGGCCGCCGTTCGTTTGTTTCTAAGCAGCAAAACTGAAATGCAGTCGATTATCGAATCCGCCAGAACATCAGCTATGTTTTCGGGTGGGGGGAGTACAGCCATTTCTCAAGCTGTTCCTCAAAAGTCTGAAACTATGCATGCACTAGACGTAACAGCTCCTACTTTGCCTAGTTCATTCCCATCATATCGCAACGGAGCCGCTCGTGAATCGTTCGATGAATCACTGAACCAATTTGCTTATCCATACAACAAAGCGATTGCTCCTCCTGTCGATACCCCGCCTCGTGCACAGGTGGATATGGTAGTACGCAATAAACCGGAGGAGTATCCAGAACATATACCGCCAGATCGGATTCATTCGGATCGAGATCGAAATTATGGTTACAATAATCCACCGGATATACCCTCTAGATACGACAACCGAGATTTTCCACCAACCCGTGACTATGGTCCGAGAGATGCTTATGTGAATGATAGGGGTGACGCACCATACAGATATCACGAAGATTATGATTACAGTCGGCGCCCACCACCCCCCATCCCTGAAGATAACTTCACTCCTAGGAATAAGGACCCTGGCTTTAGAAACAGTCCAAGAGATCCATACCCAGACCAGTACCCTCCGCGCCACGTTATGGACGACAGAGCTCCAGATTATGGCAAGTATCCCACACCACCTCCTAGATCAAATAATGATCGCTTCGTACCACATGATGTTCCACCACGGGAAGTAAATCGTGGTAATGGTAATTATCCCCCGGAAACTAGAAGTGGTCCGTTCCATCCACTTGAAAGGGAAGCTCCCTATCCTAATAACAGGTTGCCGGAGGATCGTGATTTCTCGGTTAGACCTCCGTGGCTTGGTCCTGATGCTCCTGGTGTAGGACCTAAGCGTCCATTCCAACAGCCAGTTCCAGATTACGAAGAGTACCCAAGGAAACGCCGACCTCCTCCTCCTCCGTCGTACGGTCGTCCATCTGATTTGATACCTGGAGAAACCGAGTATGTACTTCGTGTCTGTCTACCAGCGCCAGAGGCTGGGATCAAAACTGTCTTCGAAGTATTGCGTGGGGTGCAAGTTGTGCCTAAGTGGGGTATCAGAGTAGAAGAAGACTTACTGCAACGTCCTACTGGATATGTGTTTATCATGATGGCAACTAGAGATTCGTATGACCGTGCACTTAGTTTCGATAATCGTCCTTATAAGGGAGACATCATCAGAGTATTAAGTTCATCTCTCGAGGAATTCTACAGTGTCAGTGATACAGGTTTTGCTTCTAAGTGTCCCCCCGAGGTTACTAAAAAGCTTCCACCTGCTGACCAGTCCTGTCCACCTCATTATAATGATGGTTGCCTTGAGCTATCTGAACTTCCTTCTGATGCCACAATAATGGAAGTTGTGCGGTTCATAGGTGCTCCCGGTCTTACTTGTGAAAATGTTGTCCTTGCTCGATTTTCCCCAAATGATAGGTCTGCTCCACGAAGTGGAAACATGATTAGAGCTCTTGTTACTCTACCGTCGGCAGCAGATTTGAAAATTCTACTTTCCGCCAAGTCGCGACCATTCCGACCGGATGCTGAACTTCCATTAGCTCGCCTAATAGCAATATCCAAACTGCAAGTTGCTGCTTATTCCAGCTTTTCTGTGAGCGGAAAGTCTGAAGACACACAGGAACTGGCGAAGTCGACTATCTCACGTGACATTGATACAGAGCCAGCCAAGGCGGCAGGAGTATTTTTAACATGCGCGTGTGTCAGCGGATTTTCTCGCCCAGTAAAAGATTCTGAAGTTCTGAATTTGTTCCCTTCCATTTTGATTCCGGGAGATGCAGTAAAAATGACTCCAGATGGTACCACAGCTTTTATTGATTTCATTAGTGAAAATAACTGTCGTCGCGCGGTTAGTGAGACATCAACAGAAGGCTCCAAGGCCAAGCAAACACATCCAACTATTCACATAGAAGCTATTTCTAGGGGTGAGATGCTGAACCGTCTTGGTCTCGATACCAAAGGTGATGAACAATCCAATTTTGACAAGCCTGTAAGACCGCGTGACAGGGACCCGCGGGAACCCCGCCCCCAGTGGGACCCACGTCAGCGTCCGCCACATCCCAATTCATTTGAAAACCGCCCACCAAGTTCAGGGAGAGGGAAGTATGATGATCCTTCCTATGATCGTCCCGTACCACCTGCTCCTTTCGATGAATATCGCGACCCATTCCGGAGATTCCGTCCTCCCATGGATAACTTGCATTCTATTCCACCACCACAAACGGATCCTGTGCCTGCGCCCAGACCACCATTGCCTGCTCCACACCGTCGCCCTAATCCTGACTTCGTCTCTGTTTTCGTTGGAAATCTGCCGCCTGGATTCACCGTCGATCAACTAGCTGGAGTTATGAGGGATTATTACTTCATCCCTGGTTCTATACGACTACGCCGTAATCCTCAGGGACAACCTACTGGTGAGGCACTGGTGGATTTCAAAACAAGTTACGAAGCCGACAGAGCTCTCAGGGGACTGAATGGATATCGCATTGCTGGACGGCCACTGGTCTTGCGTTTTGACCATCGAAACTAGCAGGTAAGATATAAATTTTAATTTTATTTTGTAGGACAACTTGTTGACTTCATGTAAATCTTTCAGTTGCATTTTAAGTTTTATTTCACTGTGTAATTTGTTTATTTTTCTATGGGACTATTTTTGGAAACTAGTATTGGACTTGATATATTTATGTATATGTGTATATATAGATGCCTTGAATAAGTGCTTCAAGTCTTCTTGCTTTCTGTCCAATAATCAAACATGCAATAATTCATGTGTTGAAGTTATTAAAGGCATTCCGGAAACATTTATGTCATACGACTCTTAAAGTACTTCAGGGGATCGTATTCCTGTCTTGTGGAATGACCTGATACTACTGAAGTACTCAATAGTTCACATTCTAATCATTCCGTCATCGGAATAATTTGAAGGCTTAATAATATCTGCAGTTAGAAAAGTGCGATGTCGACTTCTGAATGTTTATATGATTTATAAGATTCATCCTCATCGAGTAGTTTATAAGACGTAGCAGTGTCTTTGTATTGGCTACGACCAATTATGCATCTCTGATAGGAGATTGCCGTCTAAGATTCCATGTCATTGTGAACATTCGTTGTCAAAGTAGACATTTGATATAAACAGGTCGGTGTTGGTGAGTTTTCAGTCGGTGATATTATACAGTGGCTTAGGCATTCAACAATCAAACAGGTTTCAGTTTCATTATAGACAGTTGCTGTTTCAAGGTGGAAGAAGGATCGCCTTAGTATGGGGAGGCTGCATACAAGGCGGTGTTACGTGTTGTTCACATTTATTATTTATATGAGACTGAAAAACATCGTTAGAACAGTTTATACTGAGGCACAATTGAGCATGTGTTTAATAAGAGCTACTGTCTCCGTGAGAACCATTAAATGAGTTTATATTAATCCGTGTTGAAGAAGTGTGACTGTTGTGGTTCTGAAGTGGAACACAGTTACCATACTTTTACTGGTCACTGATGATTTACTGTATATCTTAGGGTTAATAAAGCATGACGGTACAACGGTGGTCCAGAACTTTCCGTTATTTTATCGGCTTATTCACAATAGTGATAGGTGTTGTGTATTTAGCATGTGGAACTGTTGTAGGGATTCACTCACCTGGGACTAGCTCTTGTATACCGAAGAATGTGGGCGTAGTGTTCTGGTTGACTGACTGAGTTCCAACATAGAACTTTGCTCGGAATTGCAGCAGTTCAAGTCACAGCACCACGTAGCACAGAAAGATAGAGAAAAGAGGGAAGAAATAAATTCAAAACAACCACATTAGATAGAAATGTACGGGAGAGATTAATAACATGAAAAAACCACGAGGTTTAGTGAAGGTGGGGGTCACGAAAAGTGGAAGCACATTCGCCATCGAGAAAGGCTTTAAGACATGACTAGTTGTCTCCAGCCTCTAGTTCTCAGCACCTGGAGGGGGGCTCATTTACGTAGTATACACCTGGATACTTGGCTTAAAACATTTGTCGAAGACTTCTTGAATTGATAGCAGGTTTTGGTTTAACCGCCATAACTCCCATTCCAGTCAAATGTCAGGTGGCATTGCTCGTCAAGAAGGTCAATGGTTCGGCACACGCCGCAAGCGTCCTGGACATCTCACTGGATGCGGGTTCACAGATTCATCGATTGAATTCCCTTCCCTACCTAACACTTTGTTAAACCCTAATGTTGCTCAGCATACCAAAACACATGCGCATCTAATCTTTCTATATCTTCCGCTTCTAGTGACCATGTCTCAGCCACTAAGTAGAACATAGTGAACACGTCCCTTGATGTATAGCCGGATATACTGTCTACTCCAGAGATGATGTACGTTGTTAAATGCCATACGAACCTTTAATACCCGTACTGGGATTTCGTCAGCAATCAGTCCGTGATGGCCGGTGCAAATCTGCCGATAAGTTTAGTGGTCAACACGCTCAACCATTTCAATTCCAATCTTAAGGCTGGTAGTCAGTGTGATTCATTCCTGCAGCCTCATCATCTTACGTTTGACTAGCGTACTGCTGTAGTTGAAACGCAACACATTTGTTTCCAAGAAATAATTCTCATTTACTGTTACACTAACTCAGTGACATTTATTTGTAGGAATATTGGTGGATTCATTCTCTTACTGTCAGTCACACATCTGTATTAATTTCATGTGTGAAATTTCCTAATCGAATGTCATAGGTCAAGTAGTAGTAGCAGTTTGTTGTAATGTTACTGGAAGTCGACTAAAAATGTTTTTTAAGGGTAGAAGCCATTCGTCTATGTTGTAGTGTTTACTAATTAAAAGTAGCATAAAGTCTTTACGCCAATACCATAAGATTTGTTGGAGGCAGCTTAACATCGACCTCAGGGATCCTCAAGATCTCCAACTTTGCCCTCTGTTCCTGCTAACCGACCAGATCCACGGTAGCTGTGAGATCTTTCATAAGCATTCTCCAGTCTCTTTGTTGGAACAACGGCACCCTCATCTCTGATAGGGGTAGAGAACCTTGGTGAGGTGAATAAGGCTCACTGTGACTAAGAATAGTCTATATTAAGAAAGTCATAAACCCAGTATTGATCGCATAGTTTTCAAATGATGGTAATATCATCTCAGTTTATTTCCGATTAGAGTCTTCTCAGTGTTGTAGCGTTATCGCGTCTCATATCGACGGACACTATAATTGTGCGAGGACGTCACTCAACATACTGCTTATGTATACTCACGTATATGTTGCACAGAAACCACATTATTATAAAGTAGTCATTATTATGTTTGGTCTTATGTAAATATTTGGAACTTTTTATTGGTCGCGAATGATGAATAGCTTTCTACACATCTGGTGCTGAGTGTTAATGTTTCTCGAAGGTATCTTTGCGCAATGAAAATTACACTCATTTAGGCGGTACAAATTATGGAACATTGGCTTATTAGAGTATATTTTCAACACAGCATTTGTGGAGTCCTCTAGGGTGTATTTATTACGTGTCCGGCGGTGCAAATTTGAAGATGTCTAAAGTTGAACGACGGTCTGTATATAAAAAGAGTAGCATACCCTGTAGAGTTTCTGTGTACGGATTAAAATGAATTGTTGGTGCGCGGTGAGTAGTAACTATTGGTAATTAATACGTAGAAATAATGCAAGATGTAAAAGGCGGTTTTGGCCCCAATTGACTATGATTCTTAGGTTAAAATAAAACTGAATTAGGACAATTATTAGATGCATCAATTGTCGAAGTTAATCCCTGTACACATGGAGCCGTGTCATTTTGGATATTGTCCACCGAGTGGCGTTATTCGTACTGCATCATAGTTATAGTTTACTATCTCTTGAATAAACCTAATATTGAAGGTTTTTATGAAGGTGCGATGGTGAACTTGACTAGGATTCTAATTTTTTACTGTAATTACAAGGACGTTTGATTGGTAAACTGTCTCTGGAGTTGATACAAACATGTGAAAATAGTTGCATATCTGTTTTTTGAACTTGATGAGTTCACCCTATTTCCGAGGTACCTATTGATTAGGACATGTTCTGTGTGGAAATATAAAGCAAATTCTATTGTAACTCGACATACTTAAAGGTCTAGAGGGAAGGCAAATCTGATTAAGGTCGAGTGTGCAAATATTTGTAAGAAGATGATAACGGGAAACCTCAGTTTTTCTTTCAAGTTTTTCATGATCTAAAAGACAATCCTATTAACAACACATAAAATTCCTGGTATAAAAATAGTTTGGACGTCATAGCAAGATTATTCATATAAGCACTACACCTAGGAATTTGAGCATTAGTGTAAAATAATTGAAAAGCGTCTTGGCTTTTCCTCTGTCATAGACTTTTAAGACTATTAAGTTTCTGTGAAATGCTGTGAATGATATTCGCTAGGCAGTTTGCGGCCGCAAATTTATCCTTAGGGGCGGGAAATATACTATTCCTGCTGAGTGCGAGAAGGTATCTCCGTTGAAGATAGACTATTCCGTGAAGAGACAGTAATGAATACTTTCCACATATTGTTGACAGATTTTATCTTGTAGTCAACTATTCCTTGGGAAAATTTTAGTATCATATTTCAACTGAAAGTTTAGGTGATGTTGATCAGGTAGCTTGTTTCATTTTATGCATCTCTTGCTCGCTAAACAGTTTGTTATTTAGTCGTCTTGTGGTGCTAGTAAGTAACCTCTCTATCCATGGGGAGTTTGTTGACTTCGTCTTTATAATGAAGTCGATTAGCTTATTTCTTGAACTGAACGATTGGAATTCGACGTTACCTAATGTAAAGACTAGTTGAAGGGTAGAATACGCAATATTTGCAAATCACTAGCGCGCGTATAGTTAGAAAGCTGCTTAACTTAGTTCCAGTTAATTCTCTCCTTTAACTTGATAATAGATATTATTATTTGACAAAGGATCGATATATGTTGGCCTTGATGCCTTCAGAATTACAACTCGCGTTTTATGTTCATCTAATTAACTCTGTCATTGCAAAAGTGGTCAGAATTGTGTAAACTTCTATTATTTCAATAACATGATTCATCTGGGTACTCAGTATTGTTCATAAAATTAAAGGACTCACTGCTCAATGACATTTCGTGATTGATTGGATATTGATGTCTGTCTGTCTGGATTCAACATAGAACTTGGCACCGAAGTGCAGCAGTTCGAGTTGCCACGTTCCAAATAGCACACAGAGGTAGACAAGAAGATGAGTGGAGAGAATCAATAGAGTTTGACAAGTATGAGAGTGAAACAGAATGGGTAATGGTAGGAAGGAATATGAAAGATTACAGAGACTGAATACATCTGCGCTGGCCATTGACAACGATTTTGAGCCATGTCACCTATTGTCTCCAGCCATTGATTCCTAGAGTCCCGAGTGCCCCAACCCAGGAGTCTGCATCTCCCTACCTGACTCAGTTTAACTGTCAAGGATTTCATGGATTGATGCCATGTTTTTGTTTGGCCACCACTGGCTCTTTTCCAACCTGAACCTATATCAGCTAGCAATGCCCGTCGGGGGAGGCGGTGGTTAGGCATGCGCAGCACGTGACCTAGCCATCTTAGTCTATGTAACTTTGTAGCCTCGTCGATTGATTTTCCCTCTTTGCCCAACACTCTACGCCTAACGTCAACATTACTTATCTTGTGAAACCACCTAACGTGAGACAGGGATCGCAGACATCTATGATCGAAAGCAGTTAACCTTTTCATGTCTTCAACGCGTATTGGCCATGTTTCAGAGCCATAGAGAAGGACGGAGCGAACTAATGAGCAGTACACACGTCCCTTGGTTGATAACCGGATGTCACGCCTACGCCAGAGATGGTGTAAGTCAGCGAAAGCAGCTCGAGCTTTTTGCATCCGTGGTGAGATTTCGTCGCCAATCAGTCCGTTGGCGCTAATACAACTTCCCAAGTAGGTGAAGTGGTCAACATGTTCTATCACTTCACCCCCTATCACTAAGCTAGGTAGGAGTTGACGTGGTCCAGTCCTGTAGCAGCATCTTACATTTTACATGGGCGAATCGCATGCCAAACATACGAAGATTGCTGCTCAAGGTGTTCAGAAGACTCTGCATTTTTTCAGCATCCTCCCCTAACAGGACTATGTCATCTGCATATTCTAAGTCCATTAGATTATTCCCTGGTAATAAGTCGATTCCTAAGTCACTACGTTCAGTTAAGGATACTTCCGTTAGCATATCTATGACGAAGTTAAACAGAAATGGGGAAAGTGGACATCCCTGTCGGACACCACTGGTTGTTACCAATTCAGATGACAATTTCCCATAAGCCCTTACACGACTACATGAGTTTGAATAGAGTGCCTTGATTAGTGCAATGTACTTTCTTGGCACTCCCTTCACAGTCAGACATTGCCATAGTACCTTTCGATCCACGGAGTCGAAGGCCGCCTTCAAGTCAAGAAATATGACAATTGTTGGACGCCGAAAAGTGTGTCTATGTTCTAGAATCTGTCGAAGAGTGAAGATATGATCTATGCACCCTCTACCTGGTCTAAAGCCTGCTTGATTTTCCCTTGTCTGTTGATGTAGGAGCGAATAATTCATTTAGTTGCACCAGGACATTCCTGGCAGACAGACTGAGTTATCTGTGAAGGGTGAATAGTTGTACACCGTGAGTAGTAAAATCTCTCCACTATCTATTGCGAATGTAAAAGTCCTTGTGGATGTTGAAATAAAATTATAAGTTGTGACCTGTGATTTTTAGACTGTTAGCTGCTTTTTTGC